TAAGCAGCTACAGCACAAGGAGACCCTCACCCACAGCCCAGAGAATAATCTCCAGCACCGCAGCCAGGGCCAGAGGATGCCCCCATTTTCCTCAGTCTCCTGCCTGCATCGATCATTACCATGGCCGAGGCTATAAGGCGGCCAAGGACACGGTTTGGAGGCAGGAGCATGTCGTGGCTTCCCATCTCACTTCAGAGGAGGAGCAGGACTCTTGCCAGGCCCCCCAAACCCTACACGATGTGGCCCCTGCCCTCCTCTGACTTCCTGATCCAGCCACATCAGTGACCTTAAGGCCCTTGAACATGTAGAGTTCTTTCCTGCCTCTGGGGGTTCACCTATGCTGTTCCCTCTTTGGGAAACACTCTTCCTCTGCGTTTTACAAGGCTGACTCCTTCACACCCTTTGAGATCAGCTAACAGGGGCCCCTTCTCAAAGTGGTCTTTCTCCACCCTCTCTCAGCAGGTGGACTCAGCCTTGCCAGTCTCCTTCTCCCCACCCTGCTCATTTGTTGTCTTCATAATCTGTGACTATACATTAAAAAAAAAAATTTTTGTCTTTTCTTATTTTGTGAGACAGAGAGTGAGTAGGGGAAGGGCAGAGAGAGAAGGAGACACAGGATCTGAAGCAGCTCCAGGCTCTGAGCTAGCTGTCAGCACAGAGCCCAAAGCGGGGCTCGAACCCACAGACTGTGAGATCATGACTTGAGCCGGAGTCGGACGCTTAACTGACTGAGCCACCCAGGCGCCCCTGTGACTATACATTTTTGTTTGCGTACTTGGTACTAGGTCTTTCCCCAGATTAGACATGAGCTTTACACACTCAAGGTGAATCTGTCTCATTCACTGCTATATTCCAGCCTAGACCATCTGGTAGAGAGTAAGTAATCAAGGAATATTCGTCAAATGTTTGAATGAATGAAAAATGATGTAGTCAAAGTTGCAGAGAAAGGTTTCTGGCAGAAGAGCAGTAGTCGGATTGGAGAAGATGGCTGGGGGACAGGAAGAGAGGACGGAAGAACCATTCTGAGTCCCAGGGTAAAATCACTGGAACAGGCTGGAGAGGAGTCCCACGGCCAAGGTGATGGGCATCTAGGGAACTGAAAAGACATTTCAAAGCAATGTGATGTCGCAGAAAGAGTAAGAGTGTAATGGGGCACCTGGGTGGCTCAATGGGTTAAGCCTCCAACTCTTGATTTCGGCTCAGGTCATGTTCTCACGGTTTCATGGGTTCAAGCCCCACATCAGGCTCTGCACCAACAATGTAGATAGAGCCTGCTTGGGATTCTCTCTCCCGTTCTTTCTGTCTCTGCCTCTCTTTCAAAATAAATAAATAAATAAATAAAAAATATATATATAATGAAGCCAGAACTCCTGAGTTTTAATCCCAGCTCCATTACCAGCTGTGTGATGCTAGGCAAGTGTCTTACCCTCTCTGTGCCTGAATTTCCACATCCATCTAGTGGCACCAACATCTTAGGTGTAACTTAAAGCTTGTATCTTAGAGCATTATGTGGATTCAAGGCCAGGGTGGCCCGGGCCTGGCCCCCACTGACGGGCTGAATGCAGGGAACAGGGTGGGGATTATGATCTGAATGGAGTCAGCAGGACCAGGGGCTACTTCTGGTAGCTTCTACCCACTTGTTCAGCTTCTCAGAGGTGAGGAAGGCTTTCGAGGAGATGAGCTTTTGAATTCTCAGCCTTTCACAAAAATAACCTCCCCGGCAGAGCCCCTGGCTTCCAGCAGACAATCTCTTTGTTACTCAGCTGCTGGTGGGTGGGTGGGCGGTGCCACGGGCTGCTTATTTCCTGAATGAACAGCTGTGCCCTCTCCGCGTTGTCGAGAATAATCATAACACTACTTCAAACCTCGGCCCAGCCCAGCCTCCTTCATTCACAGCCCGCTGGCAGGCCCTGATCCTGTTCGCCAGCCGGCGGGGAGGGGCCTCCGAGAAAGGCTAGGAAGGCCCGTGGCCCTGGCCTTGGCCTTGTTCACAGCGGACCAGGCCTTGGCCTCTCACAAGTGGCCGTCCAGGCCCTCCCTCCCGGCCTCTGGTCTCAGATGGCATCTCTGGCTTCCCTCACCCCCTCTGGCCGCACCAGCCTCCTTCCTGTTCCTGGGGCATGCCAAAGCTCACACCCACCTGGGGACCACCCCGCCAAGCCAACCACCACTCTTCCCACAGTGCCTTCTCTCTAGATTCAGGCAAGCCTGACTCCTACTTGTCACTTGGAGCTTGGCTCAAAATGTCATGGCCTCAGAGAAGTCCTCCTTGGCCACTCCCCTCTGTCCGTCTGTCACTCGGCCACCAACAGCCCAAGGCCAAAGTTCTGCCAACTCAGGAGCCCTGGGGAGAAGAGCTGACCTTGTCACTGAATTTCCAGCTCAAGTCCTGACTCCGGTTCTGATGGGCCAGCCATGGCCAGGGGTCCTGTGGCTCCGGAGAGAGGAGAGGGGATTCTCCACCCAAAAGCAGGGAGGCTGTTCCCTCCAGAAGGGACGCTGGGTGGTGGGCAGGAGAGATCGCAGGCATCCACCCCGGCCCCAGCCCTTCTCTTGGGGCCTGAGAACCATGGGCCCAGAGCCTGGGACTCAGGCCCCTGTTCTGTCACTCTGTCGCTTCTGAGCCGGGTGACTCAGTGAAGTCCTCCCTCTCTCCTGGCCTGTTTCCTCACCCAGGTAAACCTCAGAGTTATAAGCAGCAGGTGAGCTGATGCCCATGCGGGCACTTTGAAAATTATTATTATCTTTGGAAGAGAGGAAACCAAGAAGAGAAAGGTTTAAGCGGGGTGAGGGTCCCCAGTCTAGCAGTGGAATAGGAACAGAACCCCAGGCCTCAGGTAAAAATACGCAACATGTACCGCCATCTCTCAAGTGAATCAGAAACCTAGACTGTCTGAGCCTGATTGTTCTGGGAGGTTCTGGAAGGGTGGGGATGTGTGGCAGCCTTGGACAGCCCTGGATTCAAATATCCTTCTAACCAGGTAATGAACACAGGCAATTGCCTCCTCCTGTGTGAGCCTCACAGCCTCGCTAGCAAAACAAGGATGATGATAATAAATGGCTGGAGTTTTGTGAGTCTTGAATGGCGGCAAAGCATGTTACCTGACACGTGGGAAGCTCTCAGTGGGTCTTACTAGCTATTGTTATTATTTGTATTTTTATGGATTGTTTCCTTCAAACACCCTCCTCCTTTTAATTTTAATAAGGCTTCTTTTGGAAAAAATTTTTTTAATGTTTATTTATTTTTGAGAGAGAGAGAGAGTGCGTGAGTTGGGAAGGGGCAGAGAGAGAAGACACAGAACCCTAAGCAGGCTTCACGCTCTCAGCTGTCAGCACAGAGCCTGACGCAGGGCTTGAACGCACGGACCATGAGATCATGACCTGAGCCAAAGTTGGCCACCGAGGCACCCTAATAAGACTTCTTTTGAAAATGCCAGGCCGCCTCAGGAGGACTAAGAACATATACAGGAAAGTCTTCCTTCCTTCTAAGCCAAGACTGAGAAAGAGGATGGGAAGGAAGAGAAACCCCTTTGTGGAAGCCTCTTCAGTGGGGTCTGGGGCTTATATACTACTGTGTTGGACCCACCGCCCTATCAGAAAGAGCCTCTCTTCTCGGCGGAAAGACTGCAGAGGATTAGAGTCAGTAAGAGTTTTTCCAAATCATACACGCCTGAGGTTCTGGAGCAGAGATTCACACCCAGGGCCACATCCTGGGCTCTGAGTAGGGGAGGGGGAGCTCTCCAGCCTGGGTGTGCGCACACACGTGTGTGTCTGTGTGTTTGTATATGTATGTGCGTGTAGCAAGCATGCTGTTCCCTTAGGGACTTCTTCAATGCAACGCAATGTATTGCAATTCGATTCAATTCAACTCAATTCAATTCGATAGAAATGTCTTCTGCTGGGGGCCAGAGAAGGAGATGAGTTCGTGTGACTTGCCAACGTTCACATACTCACAAGGATCTCGGCCAAATGAGGGACAGACCTGAGCACAGTGTCAGTGTTAATGGGACTGTGAGGACAGGGGACTGTGAGGAACCAGAGGGCAGAGGAAGGTCTGAGAATCCCTGGAAACCCAGCTTGTCTAGAGCACCCTCAGAGAGAGCTCCTCTCTGCTGAGACCTCAGTTCTCCCGGCCTCACCCCCACCCCGCAGCTCCCAGCGTGTGCACATGCCCTCTCTCTCTCTCTCTCTCTCTCTCACACACACACACACACACATATACATGCACTAGCACACACCCTCTCTCTCTCCCACACACATATACATGCACTAGCACACACCCTCTCTCTCTCTCTCACACACACACATACATGCACTAGCATATACCCTCTCTCTCTCTCACACACACACACATGCACTAGCACACACCCTCTCTCTCTCTCACACACACATACATGCACTAGCACACACCCTCTCTCTCACACACACATACATGCACTAGCACACACCCTCTCTCTCTCACACACACACATATGCACTAGCACACACCCTCTCTCTCACACACACATACATGCACTAGCACACACCCTCTCTCTCACACACACACACATGCACTAGCACACACCCTCTCTCTCACACACACACGCGCGCGCGCACACACACACACACACGCACGCGCACTAGCTCTCTAATTGCCAGGAATGCAGGCTGCCCCAGCTACTCCCCGCTGCATTCCTCAGCAGCTACTCCCACCTGGCAGGGCAAATTATACGCTGGCCTGGCAATAAAAGCCACTTTCCAAAAAAAGAAGCTTTAGGGCCCTGAGAGACGCAGCTAACTCTGTCACCCAGCCTGTGCCTGACTCAGGAGGCGGTGTCTGGCCCAGAGGCAACAGGGCCCCATGTCCCTTTAAGCAGGGAGTACAAATTCCCAGCCCAGCCCCTCCCTCTCGCTCTTCCTGACGTCAGGAGGAGGGCGTGTGTGAGTGAGTGAGTGAGGGGCTCGAGGTGCCGCATGCTCGCGCGCTCTCTCTCTCTCTCTCTCTCTCTCACACACACACACACACACACACACACACACGCACACAGTGGCGTACACACAACACATCTTTCAGACCCATCCCCTGCTGGTCAGCGCCGAGCGCCCCTCGAGAGGCAGAGTGCCCACGGCGCTGCAGGAGGCCGTGCCTGGACCGCGTCTGGCAAGGAGAGGTAAGGGGCTGCGGGGGGGAGGGGGGCACACCAGCCCCAGAAACTGGCCTTGGCAGGGGCAAAGCAGGGAGGCTCCAAGTGGCGGGGCGGGAAGGTGGGTACTTCCCCTGGGGCTGGCCCAGCCCAGTTCAGTTTACTCGGGGGGATGTAGGAGGATATGAAGCTGAGCCCACTCTGTCCTCCCTCCTCCCCTCCCTCCTCCTGGCCGCCACGGGAAGCTGAGGCTGTGTGGCTCCCTATGAGAGGGAGTGTGTCTGTGTGTGTGTCTGTGCGTGTGTGTCTGGGACTTGTGTGGCTCAAGAGGCAGGGAATCGGCAGACACCTGCCAAGCCGCAGCCTCCTGTCTGGGGAAGAGCAGTGACTGGGGACATAGTGGTGCTCCTGCCCAAACGAGAATGCAGCAGGGAGCGTTCAGGGAGCGTACGGGTCTTTCCCCGGGGATTTGGGGCTGGGGCTCGGGAGGGACCATCCAGGGCAGGCAGGCAGTCGGACTTGGAGCAGCAGTCTTGCCCTGGCTCTGTGTCTTCCCCAATGCGATGGGGATAATTGTGTTAATTGGCTTGGAGAGGTGGCTCCATGTAATTATTTTCGCCTCAGAGGCACCCCCACCCAGAGCTCTCCTCCCCTCTCTTGAGGCCACTCCTCTCCCGGGCTTGCTGGTCTGCCTCTGACCTCCACCCTCGCCAGGGTGCAGTCCCTGGAGAGCAAGCGAGGGTGATAAGCCAGGGGCTGCCGGCCCCCCAGCTGTGGGATGCAGGGACAGTCCCTGAGTGGCCTGCCCCGGCACAGGGAGTCCAGGCAGAGAGAAGGGGTGATGCTGGCACCCTCAAGGGAGACAGCAGGTTCCTGCCAAGCTGCCAGCCTGCAGGCTCTTCCCAGGGAGAGGGGAGGGGGACACTGAGCGAGAACAATAATAAATACAGTGTGAACTGCTGCAGCGGCTGGGGCTGGGGGAGGGGAGGAGGAAGCGTGCCCGGGTGGAGGGCGGAGGGTGGAGGGTGGGCAACCTCTCTGAGAGCCTGGCACCGTGCCCACCTGGATGTGCTCCAGCAGAGGCCCCTCGATGGGAAGGGGCAGTCTCCAGCTCCCCACTGGAGGATGGGGAGCCGGCTCCCCCCAAACTAACTCCATCCCAGGGGCCTCTGGGCCCTCCAAATTCTGGATGTTTCCTTCGCCCAGACTCCCTCTGCCTACCCCCACCATTTCCTTGAAGTCCTCTCCAACATCTATCTCCTGTGTCTGCCCCACCCCTCTGGATGTGTCTGCCCCCTACTCCAAAAACAGAGATGGTCTAAGCAGGGACTGGTTGCCCAGGGGCCTGGGAAAGGCCAGAGGACAGTTTGGGACGCAGAATCCCCTCCTGGGCCAGGCAATGTCCGTGGACGCGCATTGGCCGTGGAGGGGCTCAGGAGGGAGGAACAGGGGTCTTACACAGCCAGCCGGTGGAAAGGGACACCCACAGGCTGGGCCCAAGGCAGGTCGTCTAGACTGGCACCAGCAGAGGGCGCTCAGGGCTTGGCTGAGCTGGTCCCAACTGCTGGTCACAAACCAGCACAGCCAAGTCGCAGAGCCTGGTGGGAAGGGGGCTTGGGGCAGTTCAGACCTTCGTCCACGTAGTGCAGCGGGGTAGGGAGCAGGGAGTAGTGGGGGACTTTCTCCCTGCTCCAAAGCCGGTGGGATAGTGCTCCCCGGGGTGGAGGCATGGCACATTGGAAAGCTCTGGGCTTTGGGGCACACTGATTTGAGTTCAGCTACCAGTGTGACTTTGACCACCCCCCCTTCCTCCATCTAGGGGGATTCAGAATGTGAAAGTGACTTGCTCAGGGTCATACAGCCTGGCAGAGCTGGGACGTGAGCATGGCGCCTCCCGTGTCCATCTTGGCACCCTCACCCCCCACTGATGGCGAGGAAGCCCAAAGGCCTTCATCAGAGCAGCCCCCCCAGGGACGAAGGGGCAGGTGACAAGGAGAGTTAAAAAGGTCTCAACGAAGCTCAAGTATTGGCCGGGGCGGCCCCTCACCCCCTCACACACACACACTGTAGGAGGGGAAAGAATGAGGTTTAATTAGGTCACCTCCAGCTGCTGGGGCAGCTCTGGCACTGGTGTATTTTAAGGAATGTCTGGTGGCTGGGGGAGGGGGTGGCTGGGAAAGGGCCGGCTTCTAGCTCATGGTCCTGAGGCCGCTTCCTCACCCTCCTGGGCCCCACCGTGTGTTCTCTGTCCGTCCGCTTTTGAAGCCACTGTATCCTTGCCTCCCCCTGACAGCTCCTCCATGCCAGGGCCTTGGGGGTGGGACACTTTTATTGGGGGAGTTGTTTGTAAGCTTGCCAGAGTTGGCAAGTGATTCACCCAAGGTCATGGTCTGAGTCAGCACAAAGCCAGAAATAGAACCCCGAGTCCCAACTCCCCAATTCCTCCACGCCCCTGCTCTTCCTTCTCCCGGGGAGGGAGCATGTCAGGGAGCTTCCCACCCCCCCACACCCACCCCCGCTCCCAGAGGTCTTTCTGTAACCTCCCCCCCAACATCTCCAGGTGTAGAAGCACAGCTCCTGACCTGCTGTGTGACCCCACACTACCCCTCTCTGGGCCTCAGTTTACTCTTCTAAAGAATGGGGATAATAACAGTAATTATCACGTGGCAGGGGGTTGTGGGGCCTACCTGAGGAAATGGGGCCAAGGGCTTGGCACCCCACTGGCACGTGGCTAACTGGGGTCCATGGTACCCCAATACAATATGTGATAGCCATGCCTCTTGTCACGTTAGGACTTCTCACGCTGTGTGCTGGTCAGTCTTCCTCCCGCTGGACGGGGGGTCCTCTAAGGGTGGGCCCGCCCCCTCTCCTGTCTGTTGTCTCAGGGCCCGGCATTCAGTTTCCTTTCAGCGATATGTGCATTTTTGACAACCTCAGAGGACAGCTGGACTGACCTTGAGTAGTCATCTGGACCAGTGATGATTCGAGCAGCTGAGGGGAAAAACGAGGTCCAGAGAGGGTTAAGTGCTTGCTCCAAATCACACAGCACTGGGTGGTTGAGCCGGTTCGCTTTTCCTAATCTGCCCGGAACAAGAGGGATTCTCATGGTCGAGAGAGGACTCTGGGGGCCATTCCCTGCCCCATTCTTTTTGGGGTACCTGAGAATTGGAGTAGCCCCAGCACCAGGACGATGGTCACCTGCTGACAGGGCTGAGCCACTGCCCACAGCCCCACGGCCCCATGACACGGTATCAGGGCCTCACCTCAGGTTACCTCTGAACAGCCCTGCTTGTTTTGTTTTTACCTTTCCTGATCCTTCTGTCTGCACAATCGCTGGGGTTTCAGCTCCTCCCACCAGGAGACGGGTGCTGCTATTAGCCCCATCTGACAGAGGAGGAAACTGAGGCTCAGAGAGGGAGGGTCACTGCAGACCGTCCTCTAGTTGGCTAATTCTGAAGGGCACGGTTTCGGCAACAGAGGCTCTCAGACAGTCATACCAAGTCCCTCGGGGGCTGAGCTTTAACTCCGTCTGAACCAAAACAAATGTTCTACAAATACATCTGTTTCTCTGCCTTTGGAGGAGTTTGTTTTCCCCTTTAGTTTCTCAAGGGAACGTTCTGGTAAAACTCCAGCCGCGTTTTGGCTGAACCAGGAACAGAATTTAACCTCACGGGAAGAGCACTGTTCACCTTCAGACAAACCCGGGCTCTGTCACTTCCCTGCCGTGTGACCTCGGGCAAGTCACTTAGAGCCTCTCTAAGCCTCAGTTTCCTCATCTGTAAAATAGAAACAATTGTAATTGCAACCTTTCAGGGCAACTGGGAGATTTTGAAATGGAAAGCAGCCTCCTCAAAGACTTTCTTGCCTGCCCCTTTCTGCAGCGACACTCTGGAGAAAGGGTCTGCCCTGGAGGCTCACTCTGCATCCCCTCCTTCCCTTCTTCCTGGCCGGGGCCAGAGAGGCGAAGACTGCCCAAGGTTGCACAGCCCCATTAGTAGCAATGCAGGGCCTGAACCCAGGGCCCCTGACTTCCAGGGCTCCAGAGTCAGATTACCTTGGTTCAAGTCCTGGCTCGGCCATTAATTGCTGTGTGGCCTTGAGTGAGTGACTTAGTCTCTCTGAGCCTCAGGTTTTTCATCTGCAAAATGTAGTAGTAATAGCAGGAGCCTTAAAGGGCAGCTGCGGGAATTTAAGGAAAAGGAGAAGCAGTGAGGGGCAGGGCGGAGACCTGGTGGGTGGGCAATTCCCTGGGGAAGCAGGAAAGAGGAGCGGGAGGGCTTGGCTCAGCTTAGCTGGGTCTCTCCCTCTACCCACTCCTCCTTCTCCCAAGCCCAATTTAGCACCCTGTCTGGGAGAAGCCAGCTCTTACCCGGTACCTACCCGGTTCTTCCGGCATCCATCACATCTCACCCTCACCTGTATCCACTGCTGGAGGACTTCTTGTGCTCCCTGTTTTCCAGAAGCGGAAGGAAGTGAAGGGAGACCGCAGAGCAGCGCTCTCTGCACTGTGAGGCTGCTTGGTCTGCCCCCCTACCCCCAGCCCTAACTCCTGCTCTTAGCCAACTATGGGCTTCTTCCAGAGAGCCGCTGGGGTGGGGTGGGGTTCAAGGGTCAGGGAGCAGTCCCTGCCAGTCCTGCGAGCACCTACCATTGCTCTTATTCCATTGTCCGTCCTCCCTCCTGCTGCCTGGTCCATCATGGGTCCCAACCCATTTACGGGAGAGGCAGGAAGGGGGGCTGCCGTCAACCCTAACCCTGGGTAACCAATGCATCTTCCCCCTTCCCTGGAAGAGGCCTGGCTGTTGGGAGCAGGGCCCAGCTCAGCTGTGTCTCCCTGGAAACCACTGTGGGCTGCCTGTGCCCCCCCTCCCCACCCCCCACGACCTCCCAGCACCGGCTGTCACTACCAGGCACAATACCAGCCCTGGGAAAACTGTGCAGGGGGCAGGCCAGGACCATCCTGGGTCCTGGAGAGAAGGAAGAGGAACTTCTGCCCACCTGCCACCCGTGACCACGTTGGGGGGGAGCACCCCCTGCAGAGTGAGCTGCAGGGCCCTGCGGTGTCTGCTTGGGTAAATTTCCTGCCTGCTTTCCTTTTTGATAACAGCTTCATTGCAATATGATTTGCATACCATATAACTCTGCTGTTTAAGGTGGACAAGTCAGTGGCTTTTAGTGTATTCACAGAGTTGTGCAACAATGCCACAGTCTGTTTGAGGACCTCTTCATCACCCCAGAAAGAAACTTGGCACCCATTAAAATTTACTCCCCCTTGGAGCGCCGGGGTGGCTCAGTTGGTTACGTGTCCAACTCTTGATTTCAGCTCAGGTCATGATCTCATGGATTTGTGAGATCAAGCCCTAAGTCGGCCTCCATGCTCACAGCAGGAAGCCTGCTTGGGATTGTCTCTCTCTCTCTCTCTCTCTCTCTGTGCCCTTCCCCCGTTCACACACATGCACTCTCTCTCAAAATAAGCAAACATAGGGCGCCTGGGTGGCTCAGTCAGTTAAGCATCCGACTTTGATTCAGGTCATGATCTCAAGGTTTGTGGGTTCGAGCCCCGCGTCGGGCTCTGTGCTGACAGCTCAGATCCTGTAGCCTGTTTCAGATCCTGTGTCTCCCTTTCTCTCTGACCCTCCCCTGCTCATGCTGTCTCTCTCTCTCTCTCAGAAATGAAAAAAAAAAACATTAAAAAATAAATAAACATAAAAAAAAAAGAATTTACTCTCCTTTCTCCCTTCCCCCTAAGCCTGGCAACCACTAATGCACTCTCTGTGGATCTTGCAGTTTAGACATTTCACGTGAATGGAATCTAGCGATGTGACTGGCTTCTCCCACGTAGCACAATGACTTCTAGCCTCATCCGTGTTGGGGCAGGCGTCAGTGTTTCATTCCTCTTTGTGGCCGAGTAATAGTCCAGTCTGCAGCTACACCACGCCTTGTTTCTCCATGCACCTGCTGATGACTGTTGGGGTGTGTGCACTTGGGGCCTATTGTGAAGAATGCTGGTGTGAACGTTCATGTACAAGTTTCTGTGTGATTGCTTTTCTTCTCTCTAGAAATGGGAGTAAGGACGCCACACCTGGCCCTGCCTCCTGGAGCAGGCTCAGGAAGCAAAAGGCCACCTCAGCTGGGGGGAGGGCGGTATGTGGAGGCCTGAGGGGCCTGAGAGGCAATGGCCACTCCCCTGCACTCTCCTGGCCAGAGGGGGATGGGGGATGGGGGGCTGCTGGGCTGGAGGAGCATCCCCCTCCCCCCCAGGGATGGTAGAGACAGCTCATCATCCTGACCCAGAAAAATCCCGCTTGCGTGTGACCTTGAACGGCAGCCAGGAAACCTGCCCCCTTGTTGGGGGGTGAGACTCCTCAGTTCTTCCAGAGCCCTGCCGTGCCGTGTTTTGGGGCTCCTTGGACCCTAGACTCCTAAGGAGCCTTCAACTCTTCCCTGGAAATTCCAGGCTAGGGGTGTGGCCCAAGATGGAGGCCAGAAATCAGCTTGAGGCTCAGGGATTTACCTCTGACACTAGGGCCTTTGGGCGAGGGGGTGAGGTAGTAAAGAACAGGGGTGAGGAAGCAGAGAACCTCGTCATCCTCCCTCCTACATGACTGTGGATTATGAGAGCTTCTTTATATCTCCAGGCTTCGCCAAGCCTCGCCATAGCCTGTGAGGGAGTGATGTAGCGTTTATCAGATCCATTGTACAGATGAGGAAACTGAGGCCAGTGGAAATACTACCCGAGGTCAGCAGCTAGCACACAGCGGAGCTGGGGGGCCCGTGCTCTCCTGGTCTGAGTGGCCTGCCCAGCCCCCCCTGTGGCAGACCACCTGCTGCAGGCTCAGTACACTCAGCTGTCTTCCCCAGGGTTCCACAGTGGCGTCTCTTGGGACCTAAGACTTCCCAACCCCTGGGGAGAGAGAACTGTGTTCTCTTCCTCAAGAGAGGAAAATAGAGGATGCATTCTTTCAAGGTCATCCAGGCACTGAGCTGGTGATGAGGGAATTTCTATTGATCAGCAGTGATGACAGTAATTTATTGGGTGTCTCTGAGATGCCAGAGGCTGTCACACACACTGAATCATGGACTCCGCAGCAGCCTTGCGTGGTGAGTATCCTCAACATCACTTTGGAGCAGAGGAAAGTGGGGCTGAGGAAAAATCACCAGCATTCCCAAGAGCTTACCACACGCTGGTGGTGCTCGAAGCAGGTAGAGAGTCATTAAATCCACATGGCAACCTCCTCCATGAAGTAAGAGCCAGCACTGTCCCCATTTTACAGAGCAGGAAACTGAGCCAGAGGTCTAGAGTGTTGACCGGGACTGCACAGCCAGTTAGGTATAGGAGGCGGGATTCAAACCCAACTGGGTCAGAGAGTGCACTCCCACCCACCATGTTGGAATCGTTGAGGTCACCAAGTTACAGTGACAAAGCTGAGATTCGAACCCGGGTCTGTGGATTTGAAGCCGCTGACACTTGTGCCAAACTACGTTCCAGATCATCACTGGCCACATTACCCATCCCACCTCCTGGGCCCCTGGAGTTAGAGAATTAAGCTTCCAGCTGGAAAGACTTTAAGGTTAGTATTAGCTTGGACTGTCCATCGTGACCAAATACCACAGCCTGGGGGCTCAAACAGCAGACATTTACTCACAGTTCTGGAGCTGGAAGCCCAAGATCAGGGCGCCAGCATGGTCTCCTTCTGGTGCAAGCCTTCTTTTGCCGACAGCCCCCATCTGGTAGTGTTCCTCACCTGGCAGAGAGGAAGCAAGCTTTCTGGGTCTCTTCTTCCAAGGGCACTAATCCCATCATGGGGCCCCACCCTTGTGACCTCACCTGTACCTCATTACCTCCCAAAGGCCCCGTTTCCAAATACCAGCACACTGGGGGTTAAGGCTTAAGCATATGAATTTTAGGGGAAACAGTTCAGCCCATAGCAGGGTTAGATGACTCTTTTGTCTTCCTGGTGAGGACCCTGAGTCAGTGTCCTGGAGTCACCCTGTGAGGATTCACAAGCAGGCCCAGTCCTCCAGACCTGTGCCTGGTGTCTAGAATCCGCTCCTCCTGGACCACACTCACCTGTACCTCTCTCTCCCCCTTCCAGACGGAGCCTGTGGCTGGTGCGGCTGCCGAGCAGGGCCAGGCCGGGCCCTGCCCGCAAGGACGCCCACACTCTTCGCCGGCCCCTGAGCCCGGGAGCTCACCAGGCTCTCCTGCTGGACCCGCCATGACTTCAGAGCCCACGTCGCCCCCAGTAGTGCCCCCCCTCCACTCCCCCAAGTCTCCTGTCTGGCCCACCTTCCCCTTCCACCGGGAGGGCAGCAGGGTCTGGGAGCGGGGAGGCATCTCATCTCGGGACCTGCCCAGTCCTCTGCCCACCAAGCGGACCAGGACATATTCAGCGTGAGTACCTGCCCCTCGCCCAGGCTCCAGAGATCTTTCCCCAGGACAAGTCCCCAGCCCCATCTTTTCCCAACCCCTGTTGTTCTCACTCAAATACAGGGGAGCTGTGTATGGACCTTCCAGTAACTACTGTGTTCATTCATTTGCTCGCTCCGCTAAGATTTATTGAGCACCTGACCAGGGGATTCAGTGATGAATAAGCCAGTCTCCACCCATTAACTGCTTACAATCCAGAAGTAACTTATCCACCATTCACCTCCATCCTTCAGGGTAGGGGGAGAGGACCCAGCTTCAGGCATCAGGGAAGATGAGGTCCTACTGTGTTTGGAAGATGTATTAGGTGAAGAAGGAAGCTGGGTGTTCCACATACATGCATCAGCCTGGACCAAAATGGAAGCATGCAACTGACTTTTGGTGGGGGGTGGGCAGTCTAGACAGACCAGCTTGAGCCTCTGGGGTAGCTCGCTGGGTGGGATCACATGGGGGAGGGAGTTTGACTTGTCTTGGCCAAAGGAGAAGGTATTTTATTTTATTTTATTTTGTTTTATTTTTGAGAGAGAGCAAGTGAGCAGGGAAGGGGCAGAGAGAGAGAATCCCAAGCAGGCTCCGCACTGTCAGCATGGAGCCAGATGCAGGGCTCAAACCTACAAACTGTGAGATCATGACCTGAGCTGAAATCAAGAGTCACCCGCCCAAGCAACTGAGCCACCCAGCCACGCCCCGTTTTTCAAGCTCTGTGCCCAATATGGGGCTTGAACTCATGATCCCAAGATCAAGAGTAGCATGCTTCACTGATGGAGCCAGCCAGGCGCCCCTGAAGGAGGGTTTTTTGATGGCAAGCACCAATTGTTCCCTATGTCCAACCCAAGGCCAGGCACAGAGCACGTGCTTAATAAATGATGAATGAGTGGATGAGTAACAAGTGAATATGATACTGCTGCTTCAAAAGGTAGTGAGCTCCCCATTTCAGGGGGCATTCAAGTTTAGGCTGGATGTTCTTCCATCAGAAGTCTTATGACAGGGGTTGCCTGGGTAACTCAGTTGGTTAAGCTTCCAACCCTTGATTTCGGCTCAGGTCATGATCTCATGCATGGTTTGTGAGTTCGAGCCCTATATCAGGCTCCCAGCTGATAACTAGGAAACTGCGATTCTCTTTCTTCTCTCTCTGCCCCTCCCCTGCTTGCGGTGCATGTGCATATACATGCTCTCTCTCAAAATAAGTAAATTTAAAAAAAGAAATCTTACAATAGGAGCCCACGTAAGCCCAAACAATCTCAAGAGGGGAGGGTGCTGTGTAGAGAGAAAGAGCGGCACTCCCTGGGAGTGAGGAGACCCACTTGCTCTGCACCCTGGGAAAGCCAGTTCCCCTCTCTGGGCCTCGGTCTCCTTACTGTGCAATGGGACCACGAGAAGGCTGAGCTAGCATCACTGTGCTCAGTTTCTGGCCTGCGGAGGGTTTTCCGCAGCCCTGAGACGGGCTTTGCAGGCAGGGCCCGGGAGGGTGGTGGGCGTCCAGGGAGGGGAGTCCCCAGCAGCTCTAACCCCCCTACTCTATCCTCAGGACAGCCCGTGCCTCGGCTGGCCCAGTGTTCAAGGGTGTCTGTAAGCAGTTCTCACGCTCACAGGGCCACGGCTTCATCACCCCTGAGAATGGATCCGAGGACATCTTTGTGCACGTATCTGAGTGAGTCCCTCCGGCGTCCCTATTCTTGGCTGGGCCCCTGCTGCAGGGTCCTGGCAGTGCCTCAAGAAATGCCTCCCCTGGCCTCTCCCCTGCCTGGCTGAAGTCTGTGTTCCTGGCATCTTTCTCCTGCTGCAGGAGCTGCGGGTGCCTGGGGGCAGGAGGAGGAGGGCTGGAGCCAGGTCGGGAGGGGACACTCGGGCCCTCCCGGGCCCTCCCCTCCCCCCGGAACCACTGGCTCAGCCCTGGGATCCTGTTTCAAAATCTTGGGAACAGAGAGGGCTGGGCCAGACCCTGGGCTTTTCAGCCTGAAGGGCACACAGACGGAGGAGAGGTGGTCCAGGCCCGGCCCCCGGCCCTGATGCCAGGCAGGACCTGGAGAGGACACCGAGTTTCTCTAGGCCGCTGGACGGCCCGTGCCCTGCATGTCTCGATCTTCAAACAGCAGAGAGAGGGAGGGGCCGTTCAGGGTTCCCACTGTACAGATTCGAGAGCTGAAGCTCTGGGAAGGGAGGGGAGGCCGCCCTCAGCCCCCAGACGCTGCCCGGGAGCGGGGGGCCCGCTGCTGGGCTGACGCTCCTCTCCCACCTAGCAGCATCGAGGGGGAGTACGTGCCGGTGGAAGGCGACGAGGTGACCTACAAGATGTGCCCCATCCCACCCAAGAACCAGAAGTTCCAGGCCGTAGAGGTGGTGCTCACACAGCTGGCCCCACACACCCCCCACGAGACATGGTCCGGCCAGGTCGTGGGCTCCTAGGCGGGGGGGCTCACATGTCGGCTGCTGGGCGGGTGGGGAGCCACGCTGGGTAGATGGGCAGCAGCGGGCTCCGGGCCCCGCTGCGCTGGCTGACCCAGTCCCCTGGGCGGCCTCACTGTACACGTCTGTCCGTCTGTGCTTGTGGCCGTGAGCGTGTGCCTCCATCCACCCCCGTGACCAGTGACTATTGTGTGAGCCGGACTGAAGGGGAGGCCACCGGACCTGCCTTCTGTGTGTCCACTCTCCTCCCCCGCCCTGCCGCATCCACACAGGACCCCCTCGCCCTCCTGCCCACTGAGCCTCTGAGGGCCTGCGTCAGGCCTGGGCCTGGGAGGCAGGGGCGCCAGGGGGCCCATCGCACCAGCTTGTTCCCCTTGCCTCTGGCCCAGGGACCAGACTCTGCCTGTTCTGACACCTCCCGCCCTGGGCTGGGGTCCCCCACTGTGGCCTGTACCCTTTTCCCTCAGAAGCCAGGCCAGCGAGAGCCTCCCAGCCTCTGGCAGGGAGAGGGCACACCTTGGAGGCAGAGCCCTCCTCACCGCCGCGGCCCAGACTTCCTTCCATCTGCCCCTCCTCCCAGCGTCCCGGAGAAGTAGGCAAGGAGCGGAGGGTGGAACGTAGGTGGTCACAGTCCCTCAGCCTGGCAATGGCTCTATGAACACGTTGAGGCTGCGTCCCTGCCCCCCCAAACGCCCCGGGCTGCGCTAAGCCACGCTGCCTCCACCCTCGAGATGCGGATCTGTGGAGGAGCAGGGGTGCATCGCCCCCAGATTGGACGGAGCCGTCCCCTTGGCCTGACCCGGGCTCTGCGGACACTCTGCCCAGGCCCACACATGCCGGCTGCTGAGGACCTGGTGATGCAGACGCGCGTCCCCTCAGGCTGGGCCTGGCATGGGCACCCACAGGACAGCCCCCACCCTGCGAGACCAGCAGCCCTGCCTCCCCTTGCTGGGTCCTCTTCCCACAGCTACAGTAGGTGGCTGCTGCGCCCCCAACAGGCCAGTGGCCGACGTGTGTGATCCCCATCTTGTGAGTCCCTTGAGGTGTGTGTGTGTGTGTGTGTGCGCGCGCGCGCGCTACCGTGCATGTGTGCATTCACCCGGGTGGGGGGCTGGTCCCGCCTGGGAGGCCAGGAAGGAGCAGCTTTGCCTCCATCCTACAGCCACCACCACCACCACCCTCCTTTCCAGAAAACACATCGTTTGATGGGAAAAGAAATGGGGGTCAAGGGAAGGCCTGCCAGGGACAGTGACCTTTTGGAGACTGGGTTTGTGAGGAAAACGGGCTCAAATGCCCAGAATGAGGGGGTGTCTGTTTAGAAGGATGCCCAGCCCTGCGGGTGCCCTGAGGCCCCAGGGTAGAGATCAGCTGGGATAGGTTCACCCCTCCCCTTCTCAGTCCCTGCAAGGCTGAGGGGCCAGAACTGCTGAGATATGCTGGCTGCACCCCATCCCCAAACCAAGAATGGTCCAGCCTGACCCCCTCCCCCTCCACTGCACTGGAGCTACTCTGGCAAGGACTTGCCCCAGAGGACTATCCTTAGGCTTCCTGGCTTCCTTGGTGGAAGGTTTATTGGTGCAGGTTAACTCCCCAGAGCAGCCTCCCCTGCCTCCTTAAGACACTAGCCTGGAGATAGGAAGTGGTGACATCAGCCCAGGGCTGCCTGGGGGGCAGAGGGGCAGGAGGGCTCCTCCAGACCCACAGCCCTGCAGCCAAGGCAGAGATCCTCCTGAGCCCCCCAGCCGTCCGGAACCCCCCTCCCCCACCTCCTAACACTGGCAATAAACCCTCAACTGTGACTCAGCCTGGCCCAGAGCTGCCTGTCTGTCTGGGTCCCTGGGGAGGAGCTTGGGGAGGGTACCCCAAACCAACCCTTGTTCGGGCCTTCAATAGCCTGCTCCCCTCAAGAGGATCAAAGACTTCCTGTATGAGCCCGTGGGGGAGTGACGGGAGTCCCTGACGTCTCTGCCTCTGTCCCCTCATCTGCAAAGCAGTGGCTGTGACATCGTCTGTGACTGGGGCCAATCATCCATTCAGATGGAATTGACACTGTACCTTGTTCCAGGAACTTTAATATTTGTGAGAGAAAGTTCTGGCAAATACGCACCTTCCCTGGCGCTCTGCACCCCTCTGGCACAGGCAAGCAGGGCAGGCTCTGTCTCGTACTGACACTAGCACGTGCCTGCTCCCAGCGCAGGCGGCAGATCCGTTCTGTTCACAAGGACGGGCAGCAGCTGTGGCCAGGGCTGTCGGGGTGGAGGACGGAGCCGGTCCCGCCAGGAGCTGACCGGCTGGGGACGGCTGTCCGCGTGCACCCTGGCCCCATTAAGGTGGGCCTTGCAGCAGGGTAGCCTCTGCCAGAGGAGGAGGGGCCCTGGCTCCCTACCCCCTCAACGCCAGGGCCAGGGCCTCTCTTTAGGCCCGGGTGGGGCTCTCTGGAAGTCCCTAGGAGCGGGTGTGGGTCCTGGTCAGGCCTCGTGGGCAGTTTCTGGGAAAAAGATCTCTCGGCATCGCTGTACTGTATCCTGCGGAGACACCACGCTGTGGCCGACGGTCCGGGGGTCAGCGTAGATCTCAAAGTCATTTCCTCCCTACACACAAGATAAGGGCAGGGAAGACACAAACCCATGTGGTGCCTGGAGGGGTTTCCAGGGGCTAAGGCCCAGAATGCACCCTGGCATGGAGAAACCCCCTCCGCCCCCCGCCGGCTCCTGGAGCTGCCTCTTCTGCCCTCTCAGAACCAACAGGAAGCCCACCTTCTGGGCCTTCCCCAGATCTGCCCTGACTTGCTGTGTGACACGGGACAAGTGTCCAGCCAGCTCTGGGCCCCAGCCTTCCAATCTGTGTAATGGGGCTGGTGAACACTCGCTGGTCTCCAGTAGTCGCCCAGGGGCCTGTTCTGTTGCCCTGGGTCCTGGCCTTGACCTGGGGGTGATTTGGGGTGGAAAGCACCTGGGCTGAGCCATACTCACGGGGCTGGTCTCGTTCCCGAAGAAGTGAATGGTGTCAAAGCTGTCCTGGTCCAGGCTGTCCAGGCAGTAGCGCTTGTCCCAGCCCTCCGGGAAGACGTCAAAGCTGATCATGCCTCCTGCGGGGGACGGCGGGCACGGCTAACAGAGGGCAGCCCACTGGGTGAACTTGGGCAAGATCCTTCGTTCATTCACTCAACAGCCCTTGAGTGCCTACTCAGGGCCCAGCACAGGGCGTGGAGGACTCGGGGTCCTCACGAGAGTTGCGATCCAGGGGGGAGAACAGGCAGGAAACAAACCAGACCGCCTTGCAGCATGTAAGTCAGCGGGGCCGGGGGAGGGGAGCTCCCCGGCCAGCACGGCTGGGGACACCTCTCCGGGAGGGGACACTGAGCTAAGGCCTGAAGCAGAGTGGCAACTGGAGGGGAGCAGGCACCATTCCCAAGGAGAAGGGCGTGGAGTGTGCCAGCAGCAGAGAAGGCTGGGACAGGGCAGTGGGGGCGGGGGGAGCAATGCAGGCCCTGGGGACCAGGGAGGGCTGTGATCAAGGGTACAGCATGGTCTGCTCTTTAGTGAGTATCCCTCCAGACACTGGGCAGTGGGGGACGGTGGGGGACAGCTGTGTTGGGAGTCAGCCAGAGCCCGAGACGAGGCTGCTGGTGGAGATGATGTGAGCTGTGGTCAGATTCCAGAAACATTCTGGACACAGGGCCTTGGGACTTGCTAGTAGACTGCATGTAGGAAGGGGTAAGGGAGAAAAATTGAGGGAGATGGTTTGGTTTTTGACCTGAGCAACTGGGTGGGTGGTAGGGCATGGGTCGGGTTCAGGTGGGGAAGACCGGGGGCAGGGAGGCTTTCTAAGGGCGCTGGGGACTGAGACCCTGGGCTGGCTGACCCTGGGAGGCTCCAAGACCCTCCGCAGGAACCACGGGTGGACGTACCTCGGGAGAACCTCAGCCCTTTGCCGGCAAACTCTGTTTTCAGGGCTTCCACGAACTTCTCCCGGATCTTCTCCTTCTGCAGGACAGGAGGGAGCAGGCCAAGGCTCAGAGGGTGGCTGTGGGCCAGGCCCCGGGTGAGCTCAGTCTTCCAGGTGGACATCATGACCCTCCCCCCCCCCCCCCACTTTACCGATGAGGAAGCTGAGGCTCAGAGCGGTGGCTGTGCCTTGTTCAAGGTCATGCAGCCTCAGTGGCAGAGCCAGGGCCTTGAGTCCAGAAGGTCTATGACCGGACTCAGGGCCGGATCGTGCCAGCGCAGGGGTGTGGGCAGGGTATCTGGAGGAAGCCTCGGAGTGGAGGCATGAGGGGACGGGGCAGTCTGCATCCCAGGTCATAAGGTCCACCTCAGGGCAGGGCTCAGCCCTGTCGGCTCTGCCCAGCTCAACAACGCAAACCAGACACCAGAGATGGCCATGAGATGCCAAGAGCATGGGAAGCCCCGTTACTAAGTGATGGGGGGTGCTCCGATGGAGGTCAGTAGGATGCCGTGGTTCTGCCTCCCTGGCAGGCAGGGGGCCCCCGGGGAGGCCAGAGTCCCCACCAGTGGCCACTTTGCGGGGCGCAGGGTTAGAGTTAAGGGTGTCCCAGGCTCAGAATAAATGTTCCCACACGGCCCAGGATGGCTGTATCTCCTGCATCTACAGAACCAGGCTGATCACTGGACAGTGCCCGTGTCAGGTTCGGCCTCAGCAAGGACCAGCACTGTGACCTTGAGCTGGTCACTTAACGTCTGGCCTCAATGTCCTCATCTGAGGAAGGGGACTACCTGCCCTTGGGATCTGAAGGACCGAAGGAGAATAAAATATTTATATGATATCCTGGCTGGTGTAGGGCACACAGATGAGGAAGTCTGTGCCCCCCTCCAATACCAGGAGGGGGCGAACAAGAGCCTGAAAGACCAGAGGAGACCCTAGGAGCTTTGGGAAGTGTCAGACTGTCTTAGACTTCCATCTGGCCTAGTCATTGCAGCCCACGAGATGGTCACTATGCTTACCCCCATTTTACAGATGCAAAAACAGAGGCACACAGTAGTAAAGCCACTTTCCCAGGCTGCTCAGCAAGCAGGAGGTGGAGCTAGGATTGGAAACTGGGTGGCCCGAGTAGAGGCCACCTCTCAGTATGTGTGTGGGAGGGGCTCCCTGCCAAAGGTCAGTCTTAACCAACCCAAAAAGAAAAGTCTCCATGCCCATGGGCATTGCCTACTCTAAATCTTGGGACCGGAGTGCAAACAGGGGTCAGTGAGCTAGAAGGCATCCCTGCGAGTCCCACCCACCCTCAGGGAAACATCAGAGGGGAGAGCAGATGGAGTCCCAAGGTCCCAAGTTCAAATCTTTGCTCTGCAACCGATTCCTTATGTGACCTCGGCAAGGCCTTTCCCCTCTCTGAGCCTCAGTTTCCTCATTCCTAAGATGGGGAGAACACCACCTATTTCATTCATTCGGCAAATATTTCTCTCGAGCACTTGCTATGTGCTGGGCACGGGCCGGGCACAGGGGATCCAGCATGAACAGCCACAGAAATCCTGGCCCTTAAGCAGCTTAAGCTTCTGCTGGGGGAGACAGATAATAACCAAGATTTGGAAAGTAGGTGAGCGAGCGTATTAGAGGGTGGTGATGGCTGCCTGGGGAGGAATAGAGAGGAGCAGGAGGCACAGGAGGACGCACTGCTGAATGGAATGAGAAAGTGATACGTGAGCAGACGTGAAGAGGGGGAGAGGACCAGCTGAGTCTGAAGAGAGTGTGTTCCAGGCACGGCCCTGAAGCGGGAACCTGTCTCCTTTCTCTAGAATCAGCACGGAGGACACGGTTGAAGCAGAGACAGCAAGGGGGTCAGAAGGCCAGAGACGGGCCGGCAGGAAAGGCTTTGGATGGACGGACTCACTCCATCCCTGAAAGGGAAAGGTGGGAGGCAGAGCTGAGAAGCAAAGCGCAAGTCAAGGTTTAGCAGGGGCAGCCTACCCAAAGGCGAGAGAAACACTGGTATGGGCCAAGAACAGATGCAGAGAGAAGGCTGAGGGGGTGGGCAGACCCCTCAGGGCTCAGCGCAGCACAGGAGGGCCTGGGACACTGTCCCGTTGGCGAGGGGAGCGATGGAGGGACTGTAATCAGGGAGTGCATGGGGGTGGAGGTGCTTTAAAAAGGCTCCCAGGGGCGCCATTAGAGAACAGACTGCCAGGGGCTTATGGGGGAGGGGGTGGGGAGAGACGCACAAGTGAACAGATTGGAGACAACCGTGGAGACTGAATCAAGAGGCGTTACTGCTGAACCCTACATGGGTGGAAATGACACCCTAGGATGCTGGCTTGGGTAAGCGCTGGCTAGTGGAGGGAAACTAGCCATGTTGGAAAGACCCAGAAGTGCCGAGACCATGCCACATGGTAGGTGTCCTAAAGGGGGCTGGTTGAATCAGAACACCACCGTTGCCAATCCATTTCACTGATGGGAAGACAAAGAAAGGCTCACAGACGTCAAGGGACGGAGGCCCCACAGCCCGAGCTCACACAGTTGGTGGCACCTTGTCTAGTTCGGAGAACTCGATCCGCTCCTCCAGGGTGCAGCTCCGGCCGATGGGCGAGATGTTAAGCATGCCATTCCGGAACTCGATGAAAGTTCCACTGATGGTAACGGGGGTAGGAGGGAGGGCAGGGAGCCAGAGAGAAGGAGAATGGCCCTGAATTCAAATCCAGCCCCATCTGGGACCACGGCCTCCTTGGACTTCCCAGGGGACGAGAATCCATACACCAGTAAGTTGGAGCCCTGGCGCATGCAGGTTCCCTCTGAGAGACCCACCCCGTCCTCCCTCAGGACTGGGATGGGGTGGGGGGGGGCTGGATGTCGGGCTGGGAGGGGTCTCACCGCTTCTTGGGCAGCCTGAGCAGGGCCATGTAGCGGAGGCAGAAATTGATCAAGTCTTGTAGCAGCTCCTCCCCCAGGTGGCTCTGGATGGTCTGGGCAAGGAACATGGGCTCTGAGGGCGGCGGACACAGTGCCCTCCCCCAGCCCAGGACAGAGGCACCACGGGCTACACCGCTATGGAAAAGTGTCCCAGGCTGAGGCCTTGGGGGGGCACTGACCTGCTTGGAGAGCAGTCGTCCATGCTTATACTGCACTGTTCCATTCTCAGCAAACACATAATCGAACTTCTCAATGACTTCAGGGACAGGTAGAGGCCACAGAAAAAGAAAGAGTGAGACCAGGTACCCAGAGCCAAGTAGAGGGATAAAGCCCACACTCCCCAGTTTGGCATTCAAAGCCCACTTATGCCAGCCGAAACCTGCTATTCTAGGCTCTTCACCTTCAGCTTTTTTCCCCAAACAAGCCAGTCACACCTCTGGGCCTTTGCTCACACAGGTCCTTCTGCCTGGACCACCTTCCCCCACTCCAAGATCCGGCTCCCTCCTCCAGAAGCCTTCCAGGACTGCCCAGCAGAGGGCGTCATTTCTGCTCGATGCTCCCACAGCCCCACCATCCAGGGGCTTCCATCGCTGGTTGCAAGGGGTGGGGTGGGGGGATTTTCAGCTCTGGCTGTCACATAAGTGGCTGGAGGGTGTGGGAGGAGGAGGGTCAGGGGGCACAGCCAGGAGGCTGCTGTAGGGTCTAGGTGGGAAGCGATCACCTGGACAATGGAGGGGCAGTGGAGATTCTTCTAGACTTGCTGGAGAATGCATGAGGGGGTGGGGAAAAGGGAAAAGTCAAGTAAGTTTCTGGTTTTGAGAACTGGTGGGATCTGCCCTAACTGACGCTCTGGGTCCCAAACAACTTCCTGAGCGACTTCAGAATCCTTCTCTGTTAAATGAGATAACCAAGCCCATCCGAAAGTGTGGTGGGGAGGAGAAAATGAAAAGAAGTTAACCTAGGGCCATTTTCAGCAATGGTAGTCATTCCTAACTAGTGTGATTTCAGGCGCCAGGGGCCACCGACTGGGCCAGCCAGGCATAACCATGCGCATTTTAAAGATGAGGAAATTGGAGACTCAGCAAAGAGAGCGGAGAATGTGAACTACTCCAGGAAGGGCAAGATTCTACCTGCTTTGTTCTCTGCTGTTTCTCCAAAGACTGGCACAGTGCCTGGCTCATGGTAGGTGCTGTGAATCGGTGAGGGAAGTATTTGGCTCTTTCCTCTACTTCCTCTGCGGCACAGAATCGGGGCTGGGTCTTTGAAGGCACGTGGGTCCAGGGACCTCTTGAGCACCCTACTCTCTGCACCCCCATCCCGACTGCAGAACTGGCTCTGGGTGCTCCTCTTACCTTCATCTCCGTCTCCCAGCTGCTCTGCAATCTTAGAGTAGTCCGAGCCGCCCACCACACCGATCTGAACCCTAGTTCGCAGCTTCTGCAGGAAGGCAGCCACCTCAGGGTCAATTTTCTGCAGGGACAGATTTCTGACCGTCAGCATGTCTGGGACCTCTGTTCAATCCTCACTTGGTGCTCAGAATCCAGGGAGCTCATGTTCCATTTGAATCTGAGGTAGTTCAAGGCTTAGAACCCAGACTCAAAATGAGATGTAACAGGTTTAGAAAGTCTCTCAACTGCAGGATGATCTTGAACAATGGGTTTTGCTTTCTTTGCCTTACTTGTCCCATCTATAAAATGGGGGATCACAGGGGCGCCTGGGCGGCTTAGTCAGTTAAGCGTCCGACTTTCGCTTAGGTCATGATCTCGCGGTTCGTGGGTTCGAGCCCCGCGTCGGGCTCTGTGCTGACTGCCAGCTCAGAGCCTGGAGCCTGTTTCGGAATCTGTGACTCCCTCTCTCTCTGACCCTCCCCTGCTCACGCTGTCTCTCTCTCTCTCTCCTAGAAATAAATAAAACATTAAAAAAAAATGGGGCATCAAAGTAGCAACCACATGAAGGCGGTCTCTACCAAGATTCAATGATTTGGGGATCCAGAGTGCTTGGAAATGAACAAGCAATTAACTGGTGACTAATCACGTGAAGCTTCCCCACCAAGGAAATGCAGACTAATGAGTTACACTTCATGTTTTCAAACTTTCAGCTCTTTAAAGCCGACAATATCTATACTAAATAATGATGTCAAATGCTGCCTGTTGGAGTATAAACTGGTGCAGGCATTTCGGAAGGTCATTTGGCCAGATCTATGAAAACTTAAAAATGTGTGTGCCCTGTCACCCAGAACTTCCGCTTCTCTGGCCTGGATGTATACGGAGGTCTCCTGGGGTATGGTTATAATAGTGAAAACCTGCAAACAACTCATAGGCTCGTCAATCAGAGAAGGGTAGATATCTGCTCTGAAATACTACACTGTGGTTACACAGAATAAGGCAGGCCTATGCTTCCAATATGGGAGAGTCCCGACACATGCCGTTAACTGTCAAAATCAAGTTCCAGGAACGCACACACAGTATGATACCACTCATTAAAAAAAAAAAAAGCCTCACAAAACAATGCTTAATATTTGCTCTGAGCAAACAGATCTAGATGACGGTCTGGAAGAAGCCACAGGAGAGGCAGAGGCAACCACCTTTCTTTCAGGAGGGGATGGGCCAGGGATCCTGACATAGTCAGCAGGGACTTTAGCCTTCTCTGTTGTGTTTTCATTCCTTACAAGAGAATGTGTTTATGAAGACGTGTATAATTAAAAATTAACTTTTATTGGGGCACGTGGGTGGCTCAGTGGGTTAAGTGTCCTACTTCAGCTCAGGTCATGATCTCATGGTTCGTGAGTTCAAGCTGGCGTGGGGCTCTGTGCTGTCAGTGCAGAGCCGGATCCTGTCTCCTCTCTCTCTTGGTCCCTTCCCGGCTAGCGCACTCTCTCTCTCTCTCTCAAAAATAAATAGGGGCGCCTGGGTGGCTTAGTCGGTTGAGCGACTTTCGCTTAGGTCATGATCTCACGGTTTGTGGGTTCGAGCCCCGCGTCGGGCTCTGTGCTGACTGCCAGCTCAGAGCCTGGAGCCTGTTTCAGAGTCTGTCACTCCCTCTCTCTCTGACCCTGCCCTGTCACGCGGTCTCTCTCTCTCTCTCCTAGAAAAAAAAAAATTAAAAAAAAATTGCTTTAAAAAAAATAAATAAACATTAGGGATGCCTGGGTGGCTTAGTTGGTTGAGCGACCAAGTTCATCGCAGGTCATGATTTCACAGTTCGCGTTCAAGCTCTGCATCAGGCTCTGTGCTGACAGCTCAGAGCCTGGAGCCTGCTTCAGATGGTCTCCCTCTCTCTCTGCCCCTCCCTGCTCACAGTCTGTGTGTGTGTCTCTCTCTAAGAAAATTAACTTTTCTTTTTTAGTTTGTGTATTTCTTTTTCTAGGAATCTCTACACTGTGTGGGGCTAGAACTTAGGACCCCCATATCAAGAGGTGCATGCTCTTCTAACTGAGCCAGCCAGGCGCCCCAAAAATTAACTTTTAAAAAGCACGAAGGATAGGGCTTGGCATAAACTGTGGAGGACAGCAATAACACACTGTTTTTGTACAGGCTGATGGGTCAGTGGAGCAAAGGGTCAGAGGGAGGGGTTGGGCCTGTGCCTTCAACCTGCCACCCTCCCTTCATTGGGCTCTGGGGGCACAAGGAGGAATCTGGCTGTCCTGCCTCTAGCAGCTCCCAGGGTCCTCAGGGATGGCAGAAAAGAGGCCAGGGCCCTCCAATAGGGAAGGGGGGGGGTCATTCAGGACCTAAAAGGGGAGGCTAAGACCTGGGTTTCCATCAGCCTCTGCCCTGCAACCCAGCCCTACTGGCTCCCTGCTCTAGGGGATCTTAATTGTTCCTTAGGGCCCCAGAATGGAGTAGAATACCCTTACGGCCTAAATAAAAGAGGCCTGCTTATTTATGTACCCAGCGGGTGAGGATCGGTCTGGGGGCTCATCTAGGGTGAGATCCAAAGCTAGAAAAACCGAGCGTGGAGCAGAGTTTGGATCAACATGGTGACAAGCCTTTTAACGAGTGGTACTCCCACCCTCCCTGTGCCACAGTATGTTCAGTGACCAGGCTAGGCCTGGGGATTCTCACCTCCAGGTGGGCGGAGCCCAAAACTCAATCGAAAAGGTACCGAAGCCTTACCTCCCTCCGTAACCAGGGGTGGGAGGTAAAGTGGGTGAGGAGCTTGAGAAAATAGACCTCCGCCCAGGCCTGTAAAGGTCTGGTGGGATGGCTCCAAGAGACCCCCGAATCCCACTAGGTGGCGACTCTGATGCTTGGTTGCTCGTAGAGGGCTCTGGGCTAGGGCTCTAGAGCCCTGGGCTCAGACGCCAGCTCTGGGCTACAGGTGCATCCTAAGGCGCGGGAGCCGGGGCTGGAGAGGCGGGGGCGTCTGGGGACCAGGCCTCCGCGAGAGGAAGCCTGAGCGGGAGCAGCAAAGCTAGGTCCCCGCTCGCAGCCTCCTCCCTCCTGAATCCCACCCGCCCCGACGCTCCCGGGCAGAAGGTGAGCGCAGACGCTCGGGGGAATGTGACATACGCGACCGGGTCCCCATCACTCCCAGTGGGCGGCCCTGGTTAGGGGCCAGGTACCCGGGCATCCCACACTCGGTCCTGGGCTGTCACGCCGCTGCAGGCCCCACTTTCGGCCTCTGTCCGCGTGACACTCCCGACGGGAGCTGCTGAACGTCAGGGCCTTACCTGGCGAGCCGGCGTGAGGGTCCCATCCACGTCAAACAGGCAGAGAACGCGCTCCTTCCTGCGGGCGCCCTCAGTGGTGGCCGCCATGGCTGCAACTCCGCGCGCGCGGCAGAGGGCTGCGGTGCGGCCGCCGGGGCCGAGTCCGAGAGAGGCTAGACTAGGCGGGGCCTGGGGGGCGGGGCCTGGGGGGCGGGGCCAGGGAGTGATCTAGGCGGGAGAAGGACTGTCCCGACGGGGCGGGGGCGGGGCCTGAGCCGACGCATGAAGGATGATTCTGATTGCACCAGGCGGGCAGGGGGCGGGCATTGGGTGGAGCAGAGAGCGGCAGGCTGGTCTGATGGTTCCAAACCAGACGTGGGCGGGGCCTAAGCCTGGGCCCGGCGGGAAGTGAGGGATAGAACCCGGAAGAGAGGAGCGGGGCCGGGGTTGGACCTCGGCGGGAAGATTCTGATTGCATCTGATCTGGGGTGGCGGGACGGGGGCGGAGCCTCAAACCCTGCAGTGCTGTGAAGGGGCGGGACTCCAACAACCTGAGCTGTCCCCGAGTCTCCCCGCCCGCTGTCAATCACTCCATGACTCACCCGTTCCTTGCTAATGCCTTTGCCCTACAAATCTTAAGCTTTATGTAATCTGATGGCCTTTGCTCGGGCTCTGGACTTTACCAGATGATGGCCTTCACGGACCAATACTCCTCCCGCTGTCATTCTGTCCACCCCGTGAGCCTAGCTCATGGTCCACCTCCTTCAAGAAACCTGTCTGGATCCCACTATTCACAATTATTTAACCATCACGTTGACTTTGTGATCAGTTCTAGATTGTCTTCCCAGCTCCACCACTATGTGACTTCGGACAAGTCAGTTTACCACTCCGAGGCTTTGTGTTTCCATCTGTAAAATGGGAAGAATACCGCCTACTCTGTAGGGTTGCTGTGCATATGCAAAGAAATAATAAATGCAAAAGAGCCCACATAGTACCTGGCACACAGCAGGCCTATTCCAAAGGAGAATTTGTATAGATGTGTTTGATACCGTTACTGATTGGCTCAGTCGGTTAAGCGTCGACTTCAGCTCAGGTCATGATCTTGCAGTTTGTGAGTTCGAGCCCCGCCTCGGGCTCTGTGCTAACAGCTCAGAGCCTGGAGCCTGCTTCAGATCCTGTGTCTCCCTCTCTCTCTGCCCTTCACCTGGTTGCGCTCTGTCTCTCAAAAATAAACATTAAAGAAATTTAATAAAATAAAAATAGGTATGGCATGTCACAATTCTTAAAAATGGGCCTCCGAGTCAGCAATTTAACTTGTAGAAAATAAGGGAAAATGGGGATTGGTTAAATTATGATCTATTTATGAGATGAAGTGCCACGAAGCCATAAAAATCTGTGTTGTAGAATATTTAAAGTGGAAAAACCATTGTAATGGAAAGCAGCAGGCTGTCTCTGGGTGCTGGTATTATGGAGAATTTCAAAGTTTTTCTTCCCTTGAAATGCATTGACTACAGCATCCTCTTCTCCAAGATTCTATTTTGGCTTCCTTCCATACTGCCAGAGCCCACCCCTGCCTCCCTCTGTGCTCCCAGGGTGTACCATTAGGTTTGGGAGTATGCCTGGGTGGGCATTTTTGCTGCATCCGCTATTCTTGCCAATGCTTGTGATGAAATTTTGGGGTGATGGGAGGCTTGTGGGGTCCAGAGCCAATGGCTAAGAAAGAATTCTTGAAGACGCCTTTGGTGCAAAAAGGTGATTTTATTTATTAAGGCATGAGGACAGGACCCATGGGCACAGAAGAGCTGCACTGCAAGTGTGGGGAGTGACCCTTTTATAGAGTGGGGGAAATACAGTCAGGAGAGAGTTTCCAGAGACTTTCATATGCTAAAGACTCACTGGAGGCCTAGCTATTGTCAAATTAAGGTTGTTTTTCCCTCTAGCAAAGCATTAACCTTGACAGCAGGGAGTTCCTGGACTTTAGGCCATTGATGGAATTGCCTTTTTCAGGTGGACTGGTGGAGGCTTAACTGTTTAACCATTTATGTTTTTATCCTTTCCTGTTTTGGGGCAGCTGGGAGTGTCCAAGGAATAGAATACCTGTCCTACCTGGGAAGGGAGGGGAGGTGCTAGCTTGTACTTGGCCCTCAGCTTGCCTCAAGCTCCCTCATCACTGTGATCAGCTCTGGCAGTCTAGGCCATGCAAAAACACACATCCACACACCTATAAGTGGCACTTAAGTGCACAATGCTTTTGATAGTTTTGTTCTGTTGTCTTGGTAGCTGCGGTGCCCTAGGAAGATCTGATATACTTTGAAGTGTTGGCGTTCTGAGCCAAAGGCCAAGAAAGAATTCTTGAGACGTCTTCGGTGCAAGCATGTGTTTTTATTATAGCACAGGGATAGGACCCATGGGCAGAAAGAGCCAGAACGGGGTTGTGAGGAGTAACTGGTTATATACTTTGGGGTTTGGGGGAGGTAAAGACAAAGGGAAGTTTTTTTGTTTGTTTGTTTGTTTACAAATAGTTTATTGTCAAGTTGGTTTCCATATAACACCCAGTGCTCATCCCCACAAGTGCCCTCCTCCATGCCCATCTACCCCCACCCATCAGTCCTCAGTTTGTTCTCAGCATTCAGGAGTCTCTCACAGTTTGCCTCTCTCCCTTTCCCCCACCATTTCCGCCCTTCTTCTCCCCCTTGTTCCTCAGTTAAGTTCCTCCTAATCCTCCTATACATGCAAACATATGGTATTTGTCCTTCTCTGCCTGACTTATTTCGCTCAGCAGAACACCCTCAAGTTCCATCCATGTTTCTACACATGGCCAGATTTCATTCTTTCTCATTGCC